GGGGACAATTCCCACCAGGAAGGAGGGCGTACCTGTGTCCCTTTACAGCCCAGGTATGGCCTGGTATAGGCACAGATCCCAAGGACAAGTTTGGAAAATTAACAACAAACAGTCAGTGCAGATGGACACAGCTTAGATTCAGGGTGCAATGAATCCCACCACCACTACCACCACATACATGAATGAACAGTGGCTTTTCATGTCTATGTTTATGGCAACATTTTTTTTTTTGAGGTACTGGTGTTTGAACTTGGGGCCTCGGGCTTCATAGGCAGGTGCTCTACCACTTGAGCCATGCCCCAGCTCAAGTCTATGTTTAAAAGAAAAAGCATTCTTGCTCTTCTTTTTATCTGTGGATTATTATATATGACAATTGGGTGTATGAAGCCTATTAACTAAATGGAGAAAAATGAGCACAATTTCCTGGGTCAGAGGAGGAGAATGCAACATATTTAATACCTTCCATGTGGAAGAGAAAATGTTAATGTGTAAAATTGGGGTGTGAAGAGCTCACAGAGAATGGCTGTAGCAAAATGCCAGAGGGGGCCTGGCAGCTGAACTTTCCTACAACTGAGCTCGGAGTGTCTTCAGGCAGCATTGGAGAAGGGGAGGCTCACTTAGGCCCAAGTTTGTCACATCAGGAATATTTCAAGTGTCCGTGTCTCTCTCACTGAACCCAATTGGCCCCAAAGAAAAGACCAGTGTATTTCTTCATATGCACTGATACTAAGCATGTTCTGGTAAGTTTTTGTGAGAGTAAATGTTTGTTTTGTCAACCAGAGGGAGAGACAAGATGCATTCTGTTCTGGGTATGGAGAAGTCAATGTTGTTCTTTGACACTTAGGAGGGAATAGGATGTTCCTAGGTCATAGATGGCAATTTCCAACACAGCACAGCAGAAATAGGGAATTATTTACCCCTTTTTTTGGAGTGTCCTAGAATTTCTGGGAAGATTGATCAAGAACTCCCACAAACAAAATAAGCAGGGAGAGAAAGTCGGACTGGACAGAAGGAAACAAGTGAGAGGAGTCTGCCTGCACTGTTGTTTAAAATGTGGTGGGCTTGTTGCAAGTCCACTTATACATGCTAACTTTATTCACCCTCATTCACCTGATGAGGCAAATTCTATTAAAATCTTCATTTTCTGTTAAAAAAAAAAAGGAGTTTGGACAGGTAGAGTGACCTACTCAAGGTAGCACAGGCACAAGTAACTAAGGGGTCATTTTCTCTCTTACCTGCTTGAATCCAGATGCTGTGGAGTGGCTCCTGCATCTCCCCACATCTGGAGGCTCCCAGAACAGAGACCACAGCCCAAGCAAATCTGCACCCTATAGTGTCTTCTGGATTCTGTAGGTCAATTCACCAGAGCATTTGGGCTGATAGAAAGGGGGACTAGCCTCTTTAAACACTGGGTAATATTACCCCAGAGATTCTAGCCAGTGTTTAGGATAGGCACCAAAGTCTGCACCTTTTATGGATTGCTATTGATTAGTGATCATTTCAAAAGGTTATAGTGGTTTATGTCATATAGATATTTAATTGAGACAGTCAGCTGATATTGAGAGCTATTGAAGGGAAGAGAATAAAAGGCACTGCAGTGCAGGTGCAAGGAAAAGCACTGGTTTGTGAGTTGGGTTCCTAAGATCCAGCAGAGGTCATCTGATATGATGGCCCACTGCAATCACATGGACACCCTTACTCAATCCCCACATTGTAAGAAATCAATAAGAAATGAGAGCACGCCAAACAAGTTTCCAGGCAATCTGATGTGGGAGCTGGGAGTTGCATTGTTTGTTCTTTTTTCCATTTTTGAGTTCAGTTTGGAAAAAACACATGGTTAATCTGATCTACTCCCCCTTGGCTAGAAAAGTCCTAAATGGTAGAGCTCGAAGTGCATATCGATGAGCAAAAATGGTTGAGATTTGGTGCTTGTTGTTTAGAAGATAATTATTTCTGCTGAAATAGATTGCAAATGAATACTGTTCACTTACAAAGCCCTCAGATTCACACTTTTGAACAAAATTACCTCCCCAAACATAATATTTTTAGTATCAAATTGCTAAAGACAATAGTAGAACCAGTTTGAATTTAGAAAACTAAATGAGTGGGAAATTGAGGTGACTTTGAAAGCAGAGTCCAGTACCTCCCACTGGCTGTTTCTGCATCTTTATAGAGAAGTGACAGCAGACATGGCTGAGTGACCGATGGGTTAACCCCGAGCTAAGAGGAGGCAGCATACAATCTAAAAAGAACATTCTCAAATGTCAGGACACCTCGAACGCACCTGATTTTCAAAGGTGTCCTTTGTGTCTGTGAAATTGTGCTTTCTTCTTTATTATTCTCCAACAACAATGTCATAAACCAAGGGGTGGGGAGTGCAGTGGGGAGCCTGCTCTATCTCACCCCATGTAGCTTTTCAGCCTACCTGTGGAGAAATAGGGCCATGTGTCGCCAGCCATCCAGGCACTCAAAATCTCTTTTTAAGCTATGGGTTAGCTATAAAAACCACTTCAAGTTTCCACTTGCTTAATGAGAAAAAAATTCATTCACATCCGTCATGAGAACCTAGGCCTCTCAGTCCCTGGAGACACCTGTAAGGTGCCTAAAAAGAAAGCTGACAGTGGTTTTGCCTGGCCAGATCAGCTCATGGACCCATCACACACAGGCAGTCTGTGGCCTCAGCATCATCATTATCTCCAGAGGTCCCAAAAAGGGGTGTTTCTATACAGTGGCTGAGAAAATGAAGGAACTATTTAGTGTCCATAAAATCACTTTATAGCAATGGCACAGATGAGAGGAAATCTGAGATTCCTAGAAATGAGTCATATTTAAGCCAATAAGCAGTGTAACCTCTGTAAACTCACTTCCCATCTTTAAACCTTGGTTTTTCCCACCTATCAATTGGTTAGCATATAGCACATCTCCAGGGCTACTTTGAAGAATAAGGAACAAAGTAAAGACAAAGAACCTAATAGGTCTCAGTAAAAAACAATGGTACTATGGTATCATCACTACCATAATTCTCAGAGTGTAATACAGTAAACTTAAGAGCTCAGTATTGAAGGAGCACACTCCCCAGCAAAAGGCAAGATGGTCTCAGAAGGTCATGGGGCAGTCCACAACTGAGGTTTCCTAAACACACTACTTTCACAGGGAACATTGGTCCAGGATAGCCAATCCAGAAAAAATTTAATTGTCTTTAAATGCATCCATCACCTACGGTTAGCCAATAATGATTTTACTAAATTTTCTTCAGATCATTTTTCCCAAAAGAAATAAAACATTAAGATATAAATGAAGTCACCCTCTAGCCTCTCATCCTGTTTCCCCTCCCTTTCTCCCCAGACAGGTGTCTTTATTATATATGCATCTAAGCTTCTCCACGTGGATCTGATTACATACTTTGTGTGAATGGTATCCTACTCTGTGGATTATTTTGCAAGTTTGTTATCTAACATTAAACTTCTGAGATTTATTTATATTGAAGCACATAGTTAGAGTTCTTCAGATATAATTACTATATACTATTCTACAGTATGATTATGTTAAGATTGATTTATTGTTCCTCTAACCATGAAAACTTAGGCATTTCTAAATTTTGCAAAAATAAGCTGCAATGAACATCTTTGTAAATCCGTTTCTGCTTGTGAATGTTTCTCTAGGACATAGCCCCAGGGGCAAAATAGCCAAGAAGGATGCTTGTTTCTTGATTCTCGCTGAATGCACCCAAAATGCTTTCTAAAGGAGTTGTTTGTGTTCTTTGCTACCAACCTGTAGGTAAATAGCCTTAAAAACACTTTGGCATTATTTGTCTACTTTAGATGTTTGCCTGTCTGGTTTGATGGTAAGGATCTCAGCAGAAATAAGATGACCCCACAGTCTAGGATAGGTGGAACACTGGCGCTGCCCTAAGCAACCCCTTGGTTCAGTTACACCGTTTGTTCTACCCTGCTACATCGGTATGTGGGCTTTTTATTTACAATGACAATACAGCCTCCAGGGAATGAGGACATAGCAACCATGCTGACTGGTGAGGAACTCCAGGTGATTCTAATAGTGAGGCCCAAGAACCGCGTTTGTTATGAAGCATAAAAGCCCACGTCTGAACACCCATGGACTTTGATGGATCCCAGTGGGTTATTTCATCTGAGGTGGACTGGGAAAAACTATCTGCAGAGGATCAGGTGGTAAACAGCTCAGATTCAGGGCCTAGTGATCTCTGTCACAACCATCGGCTCTGTCATCCTAAATGGTAAACAAGTGGTGTAGCAGAACTACCAAATCTGTATTTACCTGCACAGGTAACATGCAGGTGCTTGGAGAGAAGGCTGCTATGACTCCCCTTGCTTGGCTCCATGGAAGTCTCAGGAAACACTGGCCTTCCTCACCTGTGGGTAGGAATTAGGAGATGTTTTAATAAATTTTGTTTGGGGCTGTATATAAAGGAGTATGAAAGCAACAGAGTCCCTTCTCCTCAGTGCTAGGGGTGTTGTGGTCATTGGGCACTGAACCTTGGGGCCCTGGTAACAGGTGGAAGGGACGGAGTCCATCATTACAAGAAAGGCCTCTCTAACTTTCAGTATTGCCAAAACCCAGAGACAGGAAAGACCACTTGTCTGATTGGTCTTGGGGACAGCATTGGCAGAGAGAAGGTACCTCTAGGCTATGACATCACAAGTCACACTCGTCACACTCAGAGCAGCAAATGGGTAGAGCAGGAGCAGAATATGCTCCTCTTCCCCACTTCTCAGGCACAGCTCTCTAAGAGCTGCCTAAGGATGTGTGTCCTTTATCCTATGGGCAACTGATCCTCCCAGATACTGTCCCTTGGAGCTGGCAGAGGCCATCACACCTCTCACCGGTCTGGCTGATCATGCTGATGCCAAGGGCATCACATTCGTGGATTTCGAGCTTTGCAATATGGTCATTGGTAACAGTATCTGTCATTAGTAGTGACCTGTCAATGCCCTGGGTCATGACTAATTTGTTCTCACCTCCAGGTACCAGCAGCGCTGAAGTGAAGGAAAATCGTAATGTCAGCAACCTGGGGACCAGGCCCCTGCCCCCTGGGGACCGGGCCAGAGGCAGCACACCCAGCATTAAAAGGAAAAGACCCCTGGAGGAAGGTAATGGGGGCCATTTCTGCAAACTCCAGCTAATCTGGAAGAGGCTCTCGTGGTCAATGACACCCAAGAACGCACTGGTACAGTTGCACGAGCTGAAGCCGGGCCTGCAGTACCGAATGGTGTCTCAGACTGGGCCCGTGCATGCCCCAGTCTTTGCCGTGGCTGTGGAAGTGAACGGGCTCACATTTGAGGGCACAGGACCCACCAAGAAGAAAGCCAAGATGCGGGCAGCAGAGCTGGCACTGAAGTCCTTCGTGCAGTTCCCCAACGCCTGCCAGGCCCACCTGGCCATGGGCAACGCCACAAGCCCGTGCACAGACTTCACCTCCGACCAGGCGGACTTCCCAGACACACTCTTCAAGGAGTTCGAACCGTCCACACGGAGCCAGGACTTCCCCAGCTGTCGTCCGATGGACACCGAGCTGCTGTCCACGGCCTACCGGCGAGGGCGACTTCTCTACCACCCTGGACCTCATGGGCCAGGCCCGGCCCGACAGACCCAGGCCGGGCCCAGGGACCCTGGGCGAGAGGAACCCGGTGGTGGTGCTGAATGAGTTGCGCTCTGGCCTGCGGTACGTGTGCCTCTCGGAGACCGCCGAGAAGCCTCGAGCCAAGAGCTTTGTCATGGCAGTGTGCGTGGACGGGAGGACGTTCGAAGGCTCAGGACGCAGCAAGAAGCTGGCCAAGGGCCAGGCCGCACAGGCCGCCCTGCAGGCCCTCTTTGACATCCGGCTGCCCGGCCACACGCCCAGCAGAAGTAAAAGTAACCTATTACCACAGGTGAGAATTCTCAGGTAGCAGCCAGCCAGGTGAACGGATGCTGGGATGGATGTGAGCTGGGTTATTCTCCCTGTGATGGGGGCAATGGGCAGGCCTCTCCTTCACTGGCTCTGAATGGAGCATGGGCTATCCTGTCCCCACTGAGAGGGTCACAGTGCAGGAAGGTCACACTGCCAGACACTCCAGTAACTCAGCAGGTAGAAGAAAATATCAGGAGGTAAAATTTATGTGTTGGATGATGGTCTGGGTTGAGTTTCTAGGGAGGGAGGCTGGCGACAGCCAAGCAGACCTGGACAGTCCTGTTGAATGCCAGTACCTCTACACCCCGGCCTTTTGCTCAGCTGGAGACTCACCCAGGAGAAGGCTGGCAGAGGCCAAAGGTCAGAGGGAGAAAACTGGAGTCCTGCTTTACTCAAGGGATGTGATCATCTCCCACCTTTGCATGCACAGTTGTGCATATACTTTTTGTCTGTTTGTCCAGGGGATGGAACCCAGGGCCTTCTGCATGCTAGGCATGCCCTGTGGGTCTGTATTCTTACATGAGTTTACCTTCACTCATTTCAGCACTGCCTATGCAGCAGGAACTACTCTCATACCATTTAAAACAGCCTTATTCTGCCAAGTCTTATAATTGCTTATTTATGCAAATTATCTTTTCTCTTATCACTTTGAGACTTACTACTAATACAGTAGATAGGGAAAATTATCTTTATTCATTTTGGGCATCAATCAGGAAAGAAACACTTTGCATAGTTAAAAGGCACTTAGCCCAGTGCGGGATTCATGGTAAGTACTTAATAATTGTAAGTTATTACAGTGATGGCTGCTGTCGTTGCATCACAACACCTAGAACAGAATCCATTGTTTTGCCTTGGGACATAAATCTGTTCGAGAATGCAGGATGCCACCAAAACCTCATTTTACTGCCCAGGAATACTGTATGCAGACACAAAGTGGGGAAAGGATCCCTTAACTTGAGTCGTGACTGTGTAGAGAATTCACTCATTCATTCAATATTTATTTGACTCAAAGCAAGAATGAGATAGACAATGGGCAAAGCAGATGCTCTCCTTGTCACAAAGCATGGATGACTAAGGAGAGAGAAGATAATTAAACAAGGAGTTCCGATCGAGGGATACCTGTTTCTCTGGCTGTCTCTGCCTTCTGTTTATTCACTTAATGTCAAGCTTTTACTGAACATCCTCTGTCGTTTTAAGGAGCAGGTGGGAGGGGCTTTTACCATAATCTCCAATGGTGTTGTCTTCCAACAAATCTTCAAATAAATACAAAATCCAAGTGAAAACAGAGTGATGGAAAAGCAAGAACAGCTTCCAAGGAGTCCCCGTGCACCTGCTAGTAAGAAATGTTAAAGCCTTCCTTTCTTTCTACTTAGGCCTTTATCTTTTTTATCTTCCTCTCTTCTTCCTCCCTGTTCTGTTTCTCTACTATCTGTAGTCTAAACTGGCCAGACAGCCATGGAAGCATTTTACACCCAGCTACCTGGAAGGGCACCCTGATGAGCTTTCCCTTGACCTTTGGGAGGATCTTGGTGGACTAGCTTCTCTTGACACCTTCCCTGAGAAGCCCTCTACCAGTGTCTGTGGCTTGTCAACCCATTGCTGTTTCACTCTCATCCAGCCTGACACCACTCTGCAGAGATGCTGGCTTCCAGCCAGGCCTGGGGTTTTCTATTTAGTAGGATAGATCCCTTTCCCCCAGCTCTCTCCTGCTTCCTACTGTGTGAAATTGAAGGATGTCAGTGAATTCTGGGAGTGATGCCTCCTTCCTTCATGTTGTCAACCCTGAGCTCTCATGATGGAGAAACCAGGCAGCGCTACTACTTTGTAATAGTCATTTGACCCCAGAATGCAGCACATCAGTTAAAGCCACGGCTGCTAAATTATTTTTCTCTGACAGTCTGCTAACCACTCCGACTGGATGATGAAGGGCACAGAGCAATACGAACATTCATCACACTTGGCACACCGCCATGCCAGGGGGCTCATTATCCTCTCCCTCGGGCCCCTTGAGATGTCCACCCCCGGCTGGGAGGAAGCCAAGTATGCCAATGGACTCAGGACCAGGAACCACAGAAAGCCTTATGAAATTAAAATTCTGTCCTGCATAAAGTATGAATTCAGGGGGGAAAAAAATCAAAAGAAAACATTCCAAGAATCACTGTAAATACTGCACTGCCTAAACCCCATCTTCCTTATCTCCTTGAAGTGTAGATGGGAGGCTTGTGTGACCTTTAGTTGAGAGATCCATGATGCATAAATAGGGAGTCTGTAGTATAGGGAGAGAGGGCTAAATGATGTGTAGACAGAGTGTCCAAAAGTCAAGACGGGGTTCAACAATATACAGATGGAGGCCCCATGATGGCTATAGATAATGAACCCTCTACCTATAGATCATGGAGCCTCCATTTATAGATCATAGAATATCATCTGTACATTATGGAATCCCCTGTCTATACAACATGGAACTCCCTGCCTAGATATTATCAAACCGTATGTCTGTATATTGTGAAAACTTCCATTTATAGATCATGGAACCCTCCACCTCTACATCATAGAACCCTCATCAGTGCATCATGGACCCTCTGCCTACATACCACAGACACCCATCTATACATCATAGGTCCTCCTATCTAAACATCATAGAAGACTCCCATCTATATATCGTGCCCCCTCATTTAACATCATCTATACTTTATGAATTTCCCCTTGTCTATACTATACTTCATGGACCCCCTTATCTTTGCATCACTAATCTCCCCCATCTATATATCATGGATCCCCATGGATATAAGTTTCTTCCTACTCAGGTAGATTTCTGGTCCCAAAGGAACCATGACTCTAGAATTTTAAGTCCCTAATGGCTTGACACTTTGTGTCCCTTGTCTAACTGCTCTGCTACCACCTGCCATGGATAGAGCCAAAACTATTGCCTACACTCTTAGAACAGGGCATTTCTTGTCTCCCCTGAGCAATGACAACTCTGCCAATGTCTGCTTTGGGACCACATAGCCATATCTCCTGTTGAAAAGATGCAGTTTCTGGAACTTAGGGTTCTGACACCACTATTTAATATTTTTTGCCCAAATTTCCAAGACAGTCTTAGATTTCCAGGGTGACAAACAAAGCCACTTATGGCTTCCACAGAAGTCTGTTTCATGCTTTAACCAATGACTGGGTCTTCAGAATGCAGATTCAGAGTCACCCCAGTGGGAGTTCTCTTCTTTAAGTGATAATCTATGAAAAAAACAAACACTTCACATATGACGATGTTTAGGAACAGCTAGGAAAGCATGCTTAATATACAGCTATGGAACCTACTGGAAGAAACAATGGTTCTCGCATGATGGAATCTGCATTTCCAGTAAATTCCTCCACCTAATTTCCAGTCGGAGAACCGCACAGTCAGGGACCTGCACACCTGGAGTCTGTCATGACTGAGCTCAGCCTCAGCCTGGGGTGGTAGACCACAGATCAGGGCAGGGATTTATTCTCTGGTGAGGACCATTCTAAGGAAGCAGAACCTCCCATACTTGCCTCCCAAGACCTGCAGGTGTGTCTGCATGTATGGCCATAGTTACTATGCTCATAATTCAAAATAGCAACTTTCTTCAAAACTAAAGTAGCTTTCCAGTGGTGAAAACAGCATCATATAGACTCATTGACAGTGTGGGTTTTGAAAGAATAAGTTCAAAAGCATGTGAACTTATGTGTGTGATTTCACCAGGGTCTAATTTTCACCACTTCCTGTCCCTTGGGGTGTCTCAGAACCTGGCTAGTCTGACATCTTCAATTTCTTGAGATCTGACTCAGCCAGAGTGTCAAAAACAAAGCATCTGTTAATTTTTTAAAATCATGAAACAGATATAAAAATGTAGAGTTTGCTGTACTTCAGATGGCATGACATAAATAGCTGTTGATAATGACGGTGCCCACTAGGAGATAGCTGGGAGCCTCAGCTCAAATCCTTCACGTTTTCCTTATTTGCAGTAGGTACAAGACTCCTCTGGGTTAACCAGACACTTGGAACTAACAACAAGACTATGTGAGAGTATGAACGCTCATTACCTGAAAGCATCATGAAAAATGAGAAAATCACAAAATCTCTCTTCAGCCTTTGCTTCCCACTGCTAGCATGGAAACAACTGAATTTGTAAAAGCTGAAATTCACCATTAAGTCATATTTTTCAAGATTTCCTTTCCATGAGAATGAAGGGCTTTGCAATAACGCTAGTTAAAGGAAAATATTTACCTATATGCACAGTAATCCTGAAAAAAGGAGTCAATTAGCTTATTTGTGAATTTTTCACTCATCCTCATTATTCCTTCTATTTTCTCATTTCTTTTTAAAATTCCCATGTCAGGCAAATTGGTATTCATAGTACCCACAAAGACTTAGTCAAGGCAACTAAAATATACTTTTTCCTCAGAGTAAGAGAGGGAATGCCTTTAAAAATGACACCTGATTGTTGATTGCTTTGACCAAGCCCATTAAGGTCCATTTAGAGAAAACTATGCCTGTTGCTTCAGTCCTAACCATTTTTCACCAGACCAGCATACCTTCCCCATACTCTCCTCCATCTGCTGCACTTCGTAGCTATTCGAGCTTCCCCCCTTTGTACTCAAGGGGAGAAGAAACCATGGGAGTATATAAAGTAATTAAAAGGAACCATTTCTTAAGTTTTGGCATTTTATAGTAAGTACATTTGGATCAGAGCTCTTGTACATGATCCTTTTTCATGAAGTTTGTCCCTAGGATTAGCTGCAGCCCAGGGGAACCAAGTCTGTAACAGCATGAGTGCAACTGCACTTTAAGACATGAATAAGTTGTTTGCACGATGTCTCTGTTCCTCTCCAGAACACCCAGGTAACCCCAGTTGCATTTGACCATTTTAGAGTGTTTTTTTAATCTCTTACTTGTGCTAATCTCACCTTACTCGAAAGAAGCAGCATCCTGACTGCTGTAAAGCAAAACCAACTGTT